GATTACATCCAGTGATTATTAGTTAAAGATTTTGTAAAACTGAATGTCACTTGAACAAAATAACGATGAATTAATTTATACGATGTGTACAGTGAAAATTAAATGAACAGAAACCACAACGAATCGATTAACGTCAATCAAATACAAATGAACGGATATCACTACATCAAAATGTCATCTTCAACATTGCTTTTTTCGAATATATAGTATTTGGGGATTCAGTTTCCACACCAGTATCGCATAAGTTAATATCATAAAAAATAGATGTAACTATGAACCAACAGGTAACGTATTTTTAAAGAATTAAACACCAAACACTATAACGACCATATGGATGCTGTTGTGAACACAAGTTATAGGATTTAAGATTGGTGTCAATTTACTTGATGAACACAATAGCACGTTAATAAATAGTCCTAATAGAAACGTTCCATTAGCAACCTACCAATATTATGGAAATCCAACTTGCATCTAATGAACTTAATTAAAAAAGTGGATGTTGAGATAACAAACATTTTAATAAGTACAAGAACTTAGACTACTAGTTCTTAGAAGTCCAGTAAATAGATGCAAATAGAATCTAGTCTCATCATTTAACTGGCCTGACTAACAACGCCAACAATGGACTTTACAATGCAAAACACAACAGTCCACCTTCCCTATGAGAATTCAAGACATGAAAAAACAGCTTAGGAATACTCTCATTAGGTCCAATCTTAGAAACTGTATATAGTAATCTGTTTACTTGATTCCCTATCATTACGTCAGTTTCCTGAGAAATGTTACCCAGTATTTATAAAATCCTCAGTGAAATCTAGAAAACATTCCGACTGATGCTATGAAGTATAGACCAGTTTGTACTAGAAATCTGTTACTTAATCCAGGTTATTCACTGAGTGAATGTCACTAATCATCATGTAGGTAATCATTTCATAAATAGTCACCAAATGGTGAAACTTATTTGGTGAGGGTACTCGTAGTGCAGATTTTTATGTTTCCATTTGTAGATGAAGCTGTGAAAGTTAATGGTATTTATTATTACAAACCTATTTAATATAAACAACTAACTTCATAAATTGTGACCTGAAGTCAGTATTTACGGCATAATTTTAAACTTTAATCGACGCTCTAGTTATCCTTCTTGTCATATGGTAAATCACATTAGGAAAAGGCTCTGAAAAATTCTTAACATTCCCTTCGAAGATTAGTATTATTAGGTTGCATATGACTTGATGGTTGTGTTGATACTACCAGTACTGCTATCAGATATATGAACTTCCATGTTTATATCACCGACGAACTCAAATACCTTTCACGTTCGTAAGTCTTAAAATACCGAATATGTGGTTACAATTGTACGGATTACTAATTACATCCAATAGTAACCCAAATATGCTGAAACAGAGAAGAATCCGACCACATTTCATAGGTCAAAAATCATGATTATTCATGACATGACTGATAGGCTTCGTTATTTTCATTACCTAAAAAGACGTTTTCTGACACTTGAGATCAGTTCTGTGGGCTTAGGGAGACATATAATATTCACTGACAATCGCTAAATTTACCAGTGAACAGAAACATATAGCTAGTGTAATACTAAAAGCGATGGCGTTGTTGTGTCAACATAGCGGCTGGATAAATTGCTTTGGTTCGTAAGGAATGAGTATTTGGGTCGCGGTATGATTCACACCATACTTTTGACATTTAATGACTTTGCTATCTCCAAATCAAATATTTATGGCTAGGATCTATACGAACACGAAAGTTCAGATTACTTGGACACCAATCACTTTTTTTATTAGGTACAACGCATCTCGAGAAACCAACCTTCATTTTGCAAAATTATCGATAGATATATACGGGCTTTTATTTTGCATACTCACTTGACATAATAGACTGTCAATGATGGGCGACACGGATTACGTAATTATAGGTCTTTCCTCATAATATCATGCATTCTCTTATCAAAAAACCAAAATACTCGATATAAGGACGAGTATGAAAGGAATCCTAGTAAAATAATACTAACATAGAGAAATTGGAGGGTTCGCAGTTCTAAAAGTAGACAATTCAAATAACAGAAACTAGTTAATCGAAGGAAAATACCGGCAAAGAAAGGGGTTTTTTGATTAATTTTTATATCCTTAGAGATTGAATCACTGACAAAATAATTCTCAGTAAACTAGAACCCCACTTGAGTGATTCAACGCAAAGATATCTTGACTACGTTCATAATAATACAGATAACAATTCAATCTATACAAATAGTCCTCTAACTGTTACCAAATAAACAATCTTAAGGGTTTACCATATTACTTCCAAGTAAACGGAATATGCTCATTGAGACAAAAGATAGGTTCGGCTATTAGTTCTCGTTTTGGTGAGATCATTGACAAAGTTGTACAATCACAAGTATACACTTTTTCAATTTTTTATAATCAATATTCTGTTGATGATAACATCAATAGATATGTTAAACATGAAAACAGGTCGAACAGATCAAAAACTAAATGTATTAGCCCAGATATATGTTATTAGCAGATGCCTTTTGTTAAGTGTATTTAAGAACATCACCAACCTCGACTGAAGAGATGGAGACCGTTTGATAAAAGCTCAACAGGCGAACACCTCAAGGACATATGCCATAGCGACTGAAGTCACTAATAACCCAAGCAGAGAACTGTCGAAGACAGTAAACCATCATCTTCTTAGCATTACCGGAAGATAAGCAATACTTCTGGAAGAAGCTAAACTATGTACAATAAAGGGACCTATCTGGCATATTGTCTCATAGTCTTAATGTCTTACTTTATTTAAAATCCATCACACTCCCTTCTACGTCTCTCATGACTTTTTATCGCCAACCGACTCATCTGTTTTCATACTCCTTTTGATCATGGTTCATATCCACTACATTCCACCTAATCACGTGACACAACCTTTCACATTTGTTGATCGTTAGTCAGTCAGTCAGCTACAACGTAGGACCAGGCACATGTATGCATCGGCCCAGGTTGCCATATCTCATTAGCACAGCAAGATGAACACTGGATTCATAGGAGTGGTTAGGTCAAAGGTGGTCACATATAGGAGAAAGATTGCAATAAGGATATAGTATAGGAAGAAAGAATTAGTTCGTAGAAAGAAAGATGTGAAGTGATCTTAATCTCTTAGTTTAAGAGAAGACAGAGAGTGTATACACCGACGCCATTGTGATCGATTCTGAGCCATGTCACCAAGGGTCTCCAACCATTGGTTACGAAAGTCACGCGGACCCCAACCAAGTAGTCTGCATCTACCAACATGGCTCAGACTAGAAGTTAGTGACTTCAAGCACTGATGCCACGTTTTGGTTTGGCCGCCCCTAACTTTCTTCAACCATCCCCTACACCGGTTAGCATTGCACGTCGCGGTAATCGGTGTTCAGGCATACGTAATACGTGGCCCAACCATCTCAGTCGATGAAGATTCATAACCTCATCAACTGATTTACCATCATTCCCTAATACCCTGCGTCTAACCTCACTATTACATACCCGGTGATCCCAGCAGATGCCAGCAATATTTCTAAGGCATCTGTGGTCAAATACTAGTAGCTTACGGGTGTCTTCTACTCTTAAGGGCCATGTTTCGCTGCCGTAAATTAAAACAGAACGGACTGCCGCGCAGTATACTCGTCCTTTTATTGATAGACGGATATCTCGCCTCCGCCAAAGGTGACGTAAGTTGGCAAAAGCCAAACGAGCTTTACGAATCCTTGCTGAGATTTCGTCAGACACCAACCCATATTCTAACAGCACTCAAGTCCACTGTTGATCGTTATCTCTCTTCTTGATGAGTACTCAAGGTTACAGCAACTACATCAATAGTTTCCCTACAATATTTATTTCTATTTTACCTGTTAACACTTATGGCAGTCCCATAAATATTGTAAATATTATCGTTAACAGACAATGACCACCGATTTGAAAAATAAGTATATATTTGCGATTGTACAGCTTTGTAAAAAATTTGCCTAAAGAGGAAGTTTCCGCTGAACCAATATCTTATTTTGCTGTAATGTACAACAATATTTATATAGACTTCTTGGTCATACGTGAATAACGAAAAACATTTCGTTTGATCGCACATCCAACTACACACTTCTTAAACATATCTACAGTATAACAATTACAGGTGGTTGCAACCTGGCACAGATAATGCAGAACATCACCAAGATAATCTCCCAGAGTAACTAACTTATGTACCACAATTGTATGATTTTTATCGATCATCCATACCTGTTAAAAGGAATACCCTGTAATTAAGAACTGATGTTCTGAACATTATGTGGTAAAATTTCATATTATCAGTCCTAACAGCTTTTTAAACCAATCCATGTTAAAAAATACTTGAATACATAGATTTTTGAGACAATAATTAGTTTAAAATGATGCTTCAATAAAATCAGATGTAGCTGCTACCTTTCCTTGAAATTAACATTCTGTTAATATCAATAAACCAAACAAAATAAATCTGAAAAACTCAATACCGTATCATGGTATTTAGCCTGCAATACAGTCGTATATATCAACGAGAAAACTCAGACCCCGACATATATTAACCAGCACTCTTCAAAATTTGCAATTAAGCACACAGGCCTCCATAAAACTTCGACTAAAAGCTTTTCCTCAGGAACAAACACGGGTGAAATATAAGCAAAGAAACTGCTCTTTCCAAGTTCTAGATGCTAATAGACTATACTTATTTGTGAAAACATCTGGAACTGTCTACTGATTTCGTGATTATAATATGGGTTTTTGAACATAATTTACATATAGCTTATTATACTCTCGACCACCGTTTCGTGTACATCTAAAATATTTATATACACAGTTCGTAGTCTGCATCGCCACTTATCTCTAAAAAAATTCCAAGGCATAGCATAAATATCTAAAAGTTATAGACAAGTAAAACTTATTCTAACAACACGGTAATACTGGCAATACAATACTAACTTTCTTTCTATTTCTTCGAATCGACCTTCAGATTTCCCATCAGATTTGTAACAAGCTTGTAAGCTATTTCTTTTATTTAAAGGCTGATTCATAGATAAAGTGGTCGTTAGCGGTTTGATCTGTGATTTGTAAAAATAATCCTCGTGCATACGAAATCTTTATGCAATTTTTTCAGACTAATCTTTAAGAGCTACTTAAAGAACATTTATACTAAACATCGCGCCAATAAGGCGACTCGCCTGGATAACCAATCAGAGATTAAGGAACAGACAAGTCTGATTAACAACAATGTTAGTTATAACGAAGTTTAAGAGATGGAGTAACAAAATTCCTAATTTTACAGTGGTCTAGTTTCGACTTCTTTAAATGTGAGGTGGAAAATCAGTGTCTTTTGCACTATTTATTCTCAGTTCGGAGGTCTAAAGAATGCAAGACCATTAGGATCAGAGCTACTAAATTCCCTCCTAAACACAGCTGGACATTACGAACACTAACATTCTTGATATGGGCGGAATCCAAACAGACTGTATACTCCACTTTGACTACAACATTCGAGCCAAAACCACATCCAGTAAATAATGAATGTGAATTCGCAACAATTTGAACTAACAGAATCCCGTTTAACGGCTTAGTTATGCAAGTGAAGTGTTACTTCGGAATGTTTCTAAAACTAACTTCTCTAAAATACTGCGATTTTGAACAAACATGTGTACTAGAACTCAGGAGTTTTTGGTACTAAGTCGATTTTCGTGCTTCTCAACAATTGTATGACACAATTTTGATAAGAATAATAATAACCTTCCTAATTTTCTACATTTGGATTGATAATCGTGTGATTTACGAGGTGATTAGAAAATCCAGCTTACTAGAACGAACAGTGATCTTTAAACAAAGACCAATCCGAATTTCAAGAAAATCGCACACGAATAATTCTTTATTGTGTTATTTTTCTATACGTTCAACTCTAAACGTCACTCAAAGCGCTTCACAAACAACGAGATTCCAAGTCAATCGACGTTAATGGTGCTACCTTCATTACATCGAACCAGCTTTCAGGAGTGAAAGGATTGTTTTGAAATACCCACACATCTTTCATTTTTCAAAGCAAACAACTTACAGAAATCCGGCACTTTCACATTAGATTTCAGCCACCTGATTGCTGAGTAGAAGTCCCAATTTATCGAGAAAAACATGGAGAAGGAACCTGTATTCACAATAAAAGATGTAAGCCAATATAATGAAAGGATGGCAATAATTTGAAACGAGCTAGATTGTAAACTGACAGTGGCCTATGCTTAAGATAAACATACACTGTCTTACGTAACAAGAGCTCAGGTGAAACCAACCCTTAGCTTGTATTTGATCTTCTAGCAAAAAAATGTTATTTATAAGGTTTAACAGGATGGTTAATCAATACTACTGGAAACAATTATGGCAGGAACGATAAAAAAAGGACAGTACCATTTGTGTGCAGCGTGACTTTATGGCTATTAGGCACCAAAAAGTCGGGAATTTTAAAGGCATAGGTATATGTAGAACTAACACACTATATATTGAACTCTAATTGATATCACCTAAGAGATGAAGATTATCTTTTTAGTGAATAATTACAGGCCTTCGGGTTTACAGTTAGTTTCCAGGCGCCTGAGGTAACAAATAATAATGTTGAATCTAATATTACTTAATAAGACGGGTTGAATAATAATCCCCGATACGTACATGACTATTGTTGATTACCACGATGTGGGGAAGTTAAGGTTATAAAAGTGGCCAAGAATACCATCGTTCATATACCAGTAATCTATTTAGAAACTCGGATAATTTTGATGCAAAGTTAGCGTCGAAGTAACTTCTAACTTAGAATTGAAAGTCACCATCTTGTCCTGAAGCTCCATCGGGAGCAATAAACTGGAATTCTTGTTCTGAACTTGGAGGAAAAGTCTCACTATTCTCTGTGCCATCAGCAGCCACGACTTTGCTCTCGTTTTCATCATCCTGAAAAGAAGAGTAAAGCTGTCAAAATATATTATCGATAATAATTCGCAGTTTTTTAAACTGTGCCGAGTGAACAAGCAATCCCGCTATGAAAATAAAATGAGCGTTGAAGATGAAACAACTGTTCCAAATGCAGACAGTTTTGATATACTAAGTTGATAGTGTTTCACGGAATTATAGTAAGCGATGGTCTGAAACAATAGCAAGCACACTCCCATGATGCTATAAACGAAGTAGATGGCAAACAAGCACTTTTATATAATCACTTTTATCCAACACACATCTTAGTATTTCTTGTTACTTATATTTCAAGAATGATCGTATGTTGAGATTAATGAACCTTGAAGCAACATGAAGGTATTGATTAAACTTCGAAGAAATCACTTCAATGATCAAATATCACTGGTAAAAAATTCCGACCACTCTTTGAGATCAGTTACACGCACACAGCGTTTGGTTCTTATGTATAACTGACTAAAGGTAAACAGCTTACTGTTCGTTCTGCCACAACCGCAGTTCCTCTAGGCATTCAGACAATTAGAATTTACAGATTATTGGATTTCACTATATACTTGAATGCTACAATCCACTCAGAAAGTTACGCTATTTATATTGATATGAATATTAAAAAACATGCACTTGGCTTTACCAAAAGAGGCTTGTAAAAACCTGAAACTCAAATATACTATAAAGTCGACTGCAGATAAATCGGTCTTAACTACAAACAGAAAAGGACTGCTAGTTTGTGATACCTGATGACTCAATAAATGGACACGAACGTTTCAAAAACATTAAATGTGTAACAAGGAAAGCACCAACCTACCGCATCATTGAAGTACTTTTCAATTAAATCGTAAGCAACTTGATAGACTTGAACGTTAGTGTGGTCTTGCAATTCTTCCAACTTATCCAAGCCCCCACATGTCTCTAACTCGATACAAGCTGGTTCTAATTGCCCATACTGATCAGAAATCTTGGACAGAAAATGAATATTTCATGTGAAAATTTAAATTCCAAGTTCAATAAAAACATGAAGCACTGACAAAAACTTTGAAGATACCCCCAGAAAGGTAAAAGAAATAACAGTTGGAATCGAATTACGCAGTCATCAAAAATATTCGAAACATACCTCTAGGAGTTTTTTTATTCCCTCTAAAACCATAAGTACAACCTTCGACTCTGAGACTGTAAGTATATTGCAAAGTGCTTTCAACACATTTTGGTTCAACAAATATGCACATTGTGCCGGGGTCCCACCGCTAATAAAATTACTGATAACCCAGCACGCTTCCTTTTGAGTTCTGAATTCACCCTGTAAAACAAACACGAACACGTAAGAATGAAGGTGTAAGTATGTAGAGCTTACAGTAGTGGTATGAACCGGAATGTCAAGTCAATTATAAGCTTTGTAAACCTTTGAACACATGAGCATCGGTCCATGTTGCTACTACGCATCAACAGACGGAGCTGTTAAGTAAATGTCAAAGTAATAATATCAAAACGGGAGCAAAAATTATGAGTCCGAGAACGAGTTTGATGAGGAATTCGCGGAGCGATTTTGAAACTGAGGAAAACGGTTAATATCTGACTGTGATGCATTCTGAAAGTAATAACATTCACCAGGCATTTGGGTATGAAATGCATTGTCAGGTTTGACCATATAACGCAGTTGCCCGAACCGAAATATCCAGAACCGGACGAAAACCTACGGTTTATGGGCGCAAGTTGAGCGTTCTAACCGCCGAGTCATTTGCAAAGACTGTATGTGATAATGATACAGTCTGAACAGATGGTTTGGATACAGTTGATAATTTTGATCAACACTCCGTTTTTGGGTGTTAATGACTACAATCGGGACGTTTCATATTTAAAGCAGAAACTCACACTAAACATCCTGGCATTGTAGCCAAGAACGATGATAAAATTAGTTTTGTCAACCTCTATACTTACTCAATAAATCCTAGTGTTGACCCATAAACCCAAATGATTATGCAGTAATTAAGTAGAACAAAGTAGCGCTTTCCTGTTAATTGAGTGCTTAACAATCATGTATAACCTATTTCTTAATTGGATGTATTTTAATATTTAGTACACAAAAAACACAGACTTCGGAAGTTTGTGCATAGATGTCTGAATTATTTAAGCGACACTGATTCATGAGCTAATCGACTCATTACTACAGCCATCATATGACTGCTTCTTTGACCTGAAGAAGGTATATTAAAACTTCACATGCACACAGAATAACGATATGATAAGTACTGACCAAACGAAAGTATGACCAGGATTTCGGCTGTTAAAACTAATTTAAGCCACTATAGACGCTCATGGCCAACATTGAGGAGCTTTAAGACGATAGATTAGGTACGTTTTAAAATGAATTTCGAAATAAAATATCATCGACGGTTTTGTATTACCTTGTAAAAAATCTCCAAAATGCATGGCATGATGTTGTGACTTATAACCATGTCAATTTGATCTACACTTCCGGCAGTAATGTTACTCACTACCCAACAGGCTTCTTTGACCACAGTAGACTTTTCATTGTTTAGCAATGCAGGGATGTAAGTTAGTAAACCAGCATCCAGAATAGCTTGTGTTTGTTCATCAGTACCGATGACAAGATTACCAATGGCCCTGAGAGAGGGAGAAATGAGATTCGCCTAATCCGTTATAAAATGTTGAAATAGAACATACCGATGATGATGCCAACAGTCGCAGAAGTAACGGGACACATCCACTTTCTATTATATCATCGATAAATTCATTTACGGCATCACTTGCGTATGAAAGAGCCCATGCAGTATCCACAACCACATTCTTATTACCCTCATACTGAAGAAGTCGATTGAGATAAGGCAGAAGCTTTTTAATGACGGCACGTGGCGGAGGGGGATCTCGGTTTCGACAGAGATTAGACAACATCCAGGCAATATTTGATACCACGGTGGGCTGCTTCCAAACTCGATCTAGAAGTCTTCGAGAAATATTTAGTTACGGTTTCACGTACTTTAACACTGGTTCAACAACTCCGCTCTCGATAACTATATCTCGGAATTTGGATCCATCTCCGGCAATATTACTTAGAGCCCATACACTTTGCTCAGCTATATTGACAGCAGAATGACTTAACAGCCGTACCAGTTTTGGGACAGTCCCAGAGGAGACTACGGCTGCTGTATGAGAGCTATCACCGGAAGCAATGTTTGTGAGTGCCCATGCAGCCTCGAAAACAAGATCATCGCTACTATTTGAAGGGATATTAATTTAACTTACTGAGTGGAACTGAGGGATGAACCGAGGATGTCGACAGCACCCCTTTTATAAAACTCGTCTATTGGAGGGTTCTTGGCGCGTGATAGGGTTTTTCTACAGAGCTGAACTGCTTTGAATCGAGCGACTCGATCACTTGATTGCATATCACGGATAACTGCATCGTAGTTAACGTGTTCAGGAGTATCAATTTGCTTTTCTTTCAAGGGTGAGGTTTCATCTAGTTCAGTCAACAGTATGTTTCTTCGCTTCTGAAGCTGTTCATCCTTCTTAGCTTTGCGAAGTTCAACAGACTGATCAGTACGACGCCTCCGAAGTTCCTAAAATCGACATTTGAATATCTAAAACCTTACCTCAGAGTCCTTATCTTTGTTTTTATACAGCCTAGATCTTTCCATCACGTCAGTCAAATTACCAGACTTGACAGCCAACAAGGGATGGGAGTCCGAATAAACAATTGCAGCATACAAGTTATCAAGTTCAAAAAGCCGTTAAATACTCAAATGGTTCAAATGGTTGTGGACGGAATAGAAGAAGCTTTCGCTTAACAGGCTTCCGTGTCTAGTAGCAGGGGATCACCAAATCCTCCTGGCAGGAACTTAGGTATGTTAACAATAAAACAGGAAAAGAAATTGGTAAATCATAGTGTGATGCTGTCCTTGGTCCTTAAGAATAGGTCAAGTTGCCTCTTGAAGGACCCTTGAGAAGTCGCTTGGACTCTTAAGGAGTAGAAGTTGTGTCTACATTCCGTCTTGCTATGTTGTGTTTCCAGTTTCTGGGTGTTACCCCTTAGGTTATTATTCGAACTAAGCTTAAGTAGGTGTTTAAGAGGATGTCCAGAAGTGTTAAGAATACTATAAGCCATTAATAAATCACCTCTAAGACGCCTATATTCTAATGGGTAAAGGTCTAGTGAACGGAGGCGTTCTTCGTAAGGCTTAGATTTGAGTCCTCGAACTGATTTCGTGGCTCGCCGTTGGATACGCTCCAAAGTGACCTTGTCCTTTTGGAGTGAGGGGGGAGTACTATGTTTCCGTACTCTAAATGGGGACGGATGAAACTATTGAAGATTGTGTGGAAAGTTCGTCCGTCAAACTGTCCAAAAATGCGCTTCAACGTTACCAGTGCAAGGTTTGCTCGGAAGGCATTTTTGTCACAGTTAGCGTAAGACTTTAAATCATGGGGCACCAGGACTCCTAAATCTTTTTCGACTTGGGATACTACTAGAGAGGAGTTTCCTAAGTTGTAACTGTAGTTTGCGACATGTCGCAGATGGACTACTTTACACTTTGAAGTGTTAAAGGTAAGTCCGTTATCGTCTGCCCAACTTTGAAGTCGAGTCAGATCCTCCTGAAGTGCCTGTATATCGTCTTGGTTGCGTATCTCTCTCCAAAGTTTCACGTCGTCGGCAAAAAGTAATAAGTCTGACGTTACCTGTTGAGGAAGATCATTTATGTAGATCAAGAAGAGAAGAGGCCCTAGTACTGAGCCCTGGGGGACCCCACTAGGACATTCCATAGCCTGAGATAAAGTGAAATTAACCCTAACCTTAAAGTGTCGATTTTTTAGGTATGAAGTAAGCCAATCGATTAGAGGTGGTTTGATACCTAGTCGTTTGAGCTTGTTGATAAGACAAGAGTGGTTAACCTTATCAAAAGCTTTTGAGAAATCAAGGTAAATGACATCAACCTTTCCCTTGCGATCGAGGATGCTTGTCCATCTGTCCACCGCAGTCAGCAGGTTGGTTATACAAGAGTAACCCTTCCTGAAACCATGCTGTTGGGGTGAGAAGAAATTTAAGGACAGTAGATAGTCATTTAAACCGTCGCATATCAGGGACTCCATGAGTTTTGAAGGTAATGACAGAAGAGCCACCGGCCGATAACTTGAAGGTTCATTGCGTCGACCACCTTTGAAAATTGGTGTGATGTGAGCCAACTTCCAATTTTCCGGTAATTTGCCTCGGCTAAGCGAGTGTGAAAACATCACGCTAAGCGGCGTTGCCAGGATTGAGGCTGCCTCCCTCAGTATGGCAGGATGAACCATATCCGGGCCAGGAGAAGTGTCTAATCTTAAGTGCTGCAATTTCCGGAACACCAAGTCAGCGCTTAGGTCCACTTCAGAAAGTCCTGTGGAATTGCAGATGAAACTGTCGTCAGTAAAGTTGATGTCAGCCGGTTGAAATGTTTGAGAGTAATGTGCCGCCAGAAGGTTAGCGGCGTCGCCATCGTTGTTGGTCGGGCCGTTAAGACCTAGCAGTTGAGAAACTCCTGTTTTGGCTTGACGAAGAGAGGCTGCATAACGGAATAGGCTTCTAGGGTTAGAGGCGAATTTGTCCATAAGCTTTGTTTGGTACTGAAGCCTGTCTTCTCTTATAGCCTTCGTGCATATGTTCCTGATATGTTTATATTGCCTATACGCTCCATCGTTATTAGTTCGTTTGTATTCCGCCCAACAGTGCCTTTTGCGGCTTAGCAGGCGAAGGGTACGGTTCTTGATTACTGTAGGTGGCTTGCAGCTTTTGGGAACCGTTTGAGGAACTGAATGGTTTGTAGCACATAAGAGCGTGTGCAGTAAGAAGTCCCAATGACCATCCACATCGAGTTGAGGGTGAACATCCCAAACCACCTGTTGTAGATAGTCATGTAGAGCTGGCACATTCAGCCGTTTAAAATTCCAACGCAAATTATTGTTGGGATACCTTAGCTTAGTTTTGATGACAAAACTGAAGGCTATGACGGCATGATCGCTCTTTCCCAGAGGAGCCAGGATTGAGAGGTTGTCGACTAGGAATTCTTCGTTAGTGAATACACAGTCTAAGCGCGATGGTGTCTGACTGTTTCTCCAACGAGTTGCCGACCTCACATTTTCATATAAGCCCAAGTCATCGATGAGGTTGAAGAACCGAGCTTCAATTGAGTTGTCGCCTCCAGTGTACGTGTGTTCCGCGAAGTTGACTCTAGGGAGATTAAAGTCCCCTAGAATCAGGATGTGTGTGAAACCGAGACGGATAGAGCGGGATAGTCCTTCCAGCATACGACTATCGTACTCGATGTCGGCAGTTGGCTTCCTGTAAATGACTCCGACTAGACACCTCGAAGTACTAGACAATCTTACAGAGCACCATATGGATTCCTCAAGATTGTTAAACTCGAGGTTGTGAACTTGGTGCACCTCCAAGCAAGAGCTTATGTATATCGCTACTCAATGTCTCTATTCCTTACGAAATGTTCGCATTCATTCTCATCTTATACAAGATTCTGACCAAATATGTATATATTTGGCTGATCTGTGACTAATAGAATTTACTCCATCAGTTAATAATCTTAGATTGCATATTGCATTTATTGTAACTATAACCATGTTTCAGATGCTTACCAGTGTCTGATAATCAGAAAAATATACTCTTCAATTACCAGCCTAGTTCAGGTTGAACAGAATGTACCGGGAGGCTATTTCATTATAACTCGAAAATCTGGAATATTTCAACTTAAAATGAGGGAGTGCAACAAATTATTTGACTCATAACTGCTAAGGCAAACTCTTGCCATTACGATTTTGACTGAAATTAACCATTTGGTTTCCGATGTATCACGTCGTCTCAAATACATATTCCCTACGCAAATGAAGGCTCTAGTTGTCTGATGAACATTTAGTTGGTTGACCACCCAATCCATCTTTTTGAGGCGTTAGACTTAAAACCTGATTTGAGTTATGTGTACTATCGCTACTGATTATTCATCATTTCAGTCAAAAACTTGTGGAGTTTCGAGATAAATTCTCAGTTTAATTTTCAGGAACTGACCTCTGAATAAATGTTTTATTCTTTGGATTTCTTAGAGAAGCTGTAAACCATTTGTTCGCGTTACTGTTAGTTTCTGTAATTTCCTGCTTGTCTGTGTCAAGAAATGAGTGTATCAGTATATGAGCCTCACTAGACTTGTTATTTACCACAATTCTCGTCAACTCAATGTTACAAAATAGACGTTAGCAGGAAAAATTTGTTGAAAAAACTATACCATAGGCCATTATGAAGTCTTCGACGGTCTCTTTTATGATGGATAATCAACAATAGTAGCAGAGAGCACATTTATATGTCAAGCATAACGTTATGTAGCACTGATCATAGTGCGATTGAATAAAGTTCCTCCGATTTATCAAAACGTATGTACTGGTGTTCCCATCAGTTCCTATAGCATAGCCACAGAGGTGACCAGTCAACCCCAATTTTTCACAAACGGTTGTGTAAAAATCACAAACTAAGACATAATAATGCATCCCACGGCGAGATTGCTAAGATCAACATCTTGACTTGATTATCTGACCTCAGTACTTCACTAAACAACAGATATTTCATTTCAGCCAACATGTTTCTCGTTAGTGATAGACACAAGCTACGAAAAGTAGAGAAAATAGCGTCTCTGAACCAGTTCTTCAAAAACGCCGTCCGCGAGGAGATAGTCATGGAAATAATTACATTACACTATCTTCAGCAGTTGTGACAAGTGATTAGGCATCTACTGAAATAGTTAGGTCATTGCTACAGTGCTACTGAAGTACCCAAACAATAGTGAAGGTTTATAAAGGGAGATCGGGGACCGCAGCTGAAATACATAATTCCGAGATGTATAAAAAGTCTCCCAACCAAACGGATGAAAATCAAAACTAAGGCTTCACATACAAATCGCAACCGCCCGTATAACGTACATGATGACTGATGAAAGTTTGGCCAAGAAAGTCGTTTACAGAATATCTGATACGATCCAAATGGATACTAACATACTATTGAGTTTACCTAAAGGGATTATCAGACTGTTTATATTCACCAGTAATCGACGTTAAGTAAGATTAGTATGTGGCTATCAAGGAGATCAATAATAACAATAATTTACTCTTGAATCACAATAAGCTACTTAATGTACACCAATTAACAGGTGAAAACAGAATGTTACAAATGATACGAGATTTATAGAAACAGATCTCTTAATTGAAGCGATATTTCGGAAGACATTCGTGATAGAGATAAGAGAGTATTCAATTGCATACGAATATAAACAGTGCTAGTAAAATTCAAATACACAATGTGAGAATCGGCGCGTCATATAGAAGCGGCTACGAGACGATAAACTGGAGGATTATAGATAGTACAAATCAGATTCAGTGCTTTTATAGATAATATGAAAACAATATAATACACTAGTTAAAAACGCCACGTTTTACACAGTACTTGGTACTTCTTGTCGGTATTCTCCAGATAACATACAACAGGCTTCTTAATTGCATACATACATACGCCTGTTACACCCAATGAAGCGTAGGCCGCCGACCAGTATTCCCCAACCCACTCTGTCCTGGTCCTTCCTTTCTAGTTCCATCCAATTGTTGTTCATTCTTCTCA